AAGAGTCTCTTCATCATTTATCAATTGATAGTTGAAAAGTTGAGCATCCAATTCCACCTTGATAGAGAAAAACTCGACATGTATTGACATTTCAATCCCAAGAAGAATGCTGAAAAACTCTCGATATTTAGAAAGCTAATTATAGTGCAAACAAGGATAATTGTCATCCATAACAACGATTAGCACACGTCTATTAGGTAGTTAATTATAAAGAGCCATAACAGTTACACTACTAACTCTTGGACCATGTATATATGTTGTCAAAGGAATATGCCTTGTACAACATATATACTTGTCTTTTGTCAATCTCATGTTCTGCTAAGATTTTCTTTCATTAATCCGCTAATTTGCAGTGGATGTTTAGGCCACGTAACATACATCATTGGATTGGAATGATTAACTCATAAAATTCGAGGTATATTGAAGGAATTAGATGTAAGGGAAATGTTTTCTTTTTCATTCTATCTTTTGGGAGAGAAGGGAATTGAAAATGCTAAGCGTCTTTTGGTAAGTAGGTCATCTTATACTTTAAAGTTGAACAAAACTTTTTATTTCTTCATCACGAATTATTCATTCCAATCCACATGAGGACTAGTTGAAACCTTAGAGTACTCATTTTTTTTTTGTTGCATTAATCATCTAAATAACACACTCACAGCATGTTTAAAAGGTTTAGTATGCTCAAGGAGCTTCCTATTTAGTATAATTAGACGCTTACTGATGCATGGTAACAAGAAGCAACGCTAATGCCGCCCATTTATACCTAAACAACCCTAACATCATTAGGCACCCAAATTGGAAGCAACAATGAAATTAACATAATCCAAAAAATTATCTGAAAACTTAACACTTTATGATCAGAATTTAGCTAAAAAATGGTTATAGGTCTATAAATACGGAATTCCTGCAACAAGGAAACAAGAACACGCGTATAATGTAATAAATTTGTATTAATGAATGAATTAGGATTACAATTTCTATGCTTGATCCTATGATTTGATTTCTGATGATGTGTGTGTAGTTGATACAAGGGTTGTAGAGATTTGATTTTGGTCAACAAATGCCACAAGAGTTTGGCTTGTGGCGTTGAATGAACTGTTACTGGCTAGTGTAGGTGGTGCTTGGTGGTTCTTCATGAAAGTGGTGAAAAGAACTTTCTGGTTTCCCTAAAGGTTTGGACTTGTTTTGTTTCTCTGAAGTCCTAGAACTCGATTCAAGGGTGATGAACACTTTATCTTGAATCAGGCTAGAATTTTCTTCAAGGGCCGTATAGGCTTGATCTTGAACGAAACAGGACCATGAAGAGTTTCACATGATGGGTGATCTTCCGCTTTAGTGTGGATGAGTTGGCACGTGTTTGTTATGCTTGTTGATTCTCCACAAGCTTGATCAAGAGCACAAGTGTTTAGGGTTTTTGAGCATCTGAGAGATTTATGGATGTTCGGACCCTTCCTTTGTCTTTGGAGCTTCATAGTTATAGGGACTTCCATGTCTTGATTAAGGCTTGATTTGATATTGATTTTGGACTTGACTAATTGACTAAAGAACCATGACTTGATTTGGGCTTAATTCGTGACCAATTTGATTTAATCAAATAATCTTCTATTTTTTTTTGAACAATAATAAGATAATCTTTGATTTAATAAACAATCTTTGATTTAATTAAATAATCTTTGATTAATCAAATAAATCAATCACCTTCCTCCTTAGTTTGGTCATCCTTAATTTGGCCGATTTGGCATTCATTTCATTTGTTGATTATTTATTTTAATTTAAATCAATATTTGTTTGATTTAAATTAAGGTTGTTTAAAAATAATTCCTTATTTATTTTCTAGCAAATGTCGACACCTGTCATTCTTGATAATTTGTCCGGTTTCGATGACTATGTCAACTTGTGAGACCCACAGTGCATGCTACGTAAACCCTGGTATGTCAAAACTTTAATTTTTTTTTTTTGTGGGTATTTATTTCACTAATATTTACATGTCTACAAGGTCTTAGTAAAGAAGTGGGCTGCACTCGCCTTTGATACAACATATACCATCAGACTGATTCCAAGCCTGGAGCCCGAATCTACATAGGAGTTCTCTGTTTTGGCACTTGTTGAGATGCTCTTCAATCATCTTTGTGATTTGTTCTACATATACACTTGCAACTCTTGAGAGATTTGATAAAAGCTTGACGAATATATGGACGAAACTGGTAAAAATTTTATGAACTGTCTATTTATTTGTTTTAATTAATTAATTTTTTTACAGAAATGATATTTGCGAAGTGATTTACAATATAAACAATTCCCTTCACTCTAGCATAACACACCATAAGCAGACACCATTCCCCTCCGGAGAGAAGTGGTCAACTACCTCATCACAACATAGCTCCATGGAGTCCTAGATAAGATCAAACAATTTCCTACACAACTCCATGTTAAAGAATACCTTTACATGCAAAGTTTAGTCATTATCCCTTTGACAAATACCGCACCAAGTTAGTCAAGTTAGTCATTGGAATTATTATCTAGTCAGCAAAGAGTTTGGTGGGAACGGCCAAGTGGCAAATTATTTATTAGTAACTGGGCCACACTCATGCCACATAAGCAAATTTAACATAATAGTGTTGTAGCAATATTAAAAATTTGAAAATAACGCAAGAATTCCAATCACAATAATCATAAAGAAAATCACAACATCAATAGTATACAAGATTAATATAAACAACCAGAGATAAAGTTAGAAAAACTGACAAACTTGGAGATTGAGGCTTGCATAAATGTAGATGTCCTAAAGACAGAATTTCGCCCCTACTCTTGTGCTTGTAGTTCGGTAGGCGTCCGTCTTCCAGGATTTAACAATCTATAATCCGAAGTCAAGGCACTTCAATCTTCAGACTCTGGCAAACTTTATGTATTCCGTACTCTCAAGACACGACTAAGAAGATTTTTAATAATGAGAGAGACAATAAAGTCTTGGGGATTAAACCCTATCCCCCACATGAATAAAAAATTAGGAAGAATTTGAGAGTATAGGCAGATAAAAGATACATCGGGAGAGGTGGTTTTTGGATTTGATCCTACCCTAGTGAATACTTATCAGATTAACTTGGTGACACAGTGGATGTGGAAGATCTTGAACTGTTCACCGCAACAGTAAATCAAGACAATAAGCAACACACATCACTAATCCTAATATATTACAGTTCATACAGTTGTGTTCATTTTGGTCCTGAACAAATCCTGGATTCATGAAGCCATATAGAATTTAGTCATCTCATTCTCATAGAAGCGACCCACTTTTACTCTCACATAGGTTACCATTGATTAAGAATATTCTGCAATATTCCTCTTATTAATTTATAAGATATCATTGTCATTAAGTATAAATATACAACCTAAAACGTCTGTAGACAACACACTTCTTCCATCATATGAATGAGGTATATAGTGTGTTAACTTATTTGAATCATGCCCAACTTAGACCATGGGATCTCCAATCAACTAAGTTAGGTTTCCGCCCGACTGATTCATTGGTTATGTTGGCTTTAGCCTCATTCCTCTTGATGATCAACTTACTCTCTAGTCAAACCTTTAATAATTGGTACCACTAAGGTTGACTACTCTTGTGGTGTGCACTTCCATATTATGAAATTATATTTCATACGGGAATAGTTGTTTTCCAATGTTAAGTCCTCGAAACATATGTTAGGACTTACACAATAATTTTCTAACACTAGGAAGTAGACTTCCCCTACATTTAAGGTATAGAAGGTCTATAACCTTGCCATACCTTAAACAATTACTCATTACAAGAGATGACATTTTGATTGTCTCATCCAATTAGCAAATTACGTTTCCATTCTTGTAAGTAAATCTCATTTCTCAAAATAGGTAAGCTACGCCCACAATTCTTCGATAATTGTGGTTAATTTCTAACGTTATTGTTAAATTGATCATGTTTTGTTCTTTAAAAAGTGGGAAACAACTAAGATAGACCTTATGCATCTATCTTCCTAGGCCTTCATGCCTCACTAGCCATTATGGGAAAAACACTTCTTGGCTTTTATCCTTTTCAAATCTTATAACACTCACTTTTAAACATCTTATGGTTTTGTTTTTCGTTCATTTTTAAACAGCTTAGTTGGTTCATTGAACTGTGACTCGAGTTTACTGCTTCACCATTTGAATCACACTCTAACATCTTAGAAATTAAACATCTTATGATTTTGTTTTTCGTTCATACTTTATTGTTCAGGCAAGCGCTTGACTGTGTAGCATATTAATTTTTGATGGTGATTTTGATACATGTGAACTCTTAAGTTGTGCTTTGATGTAGTATCTTACGAAGCAATATTTGACATGTGTAATGAAACCAAAAGCTCTTTTGAATTTGTAGGCATTTTTCATATGAAAAATTATGGATTGCTAACAAATTTTATAGCTATCGGATATCTGTGTTCATCCAATTTGTAGTATTCATGCTTCCTAAATGCTATGTACTTTCTATTTTGTTAGATAAACCTAGTTGAAAATAACCATAAAAAATGGAGAGTGGTAGAATTTTGATGTTGAAGAAGATAAATAATAAAAGTGATTTGTGGTGTATTTTTTAAAACCTAGTAAGGTCAAAACTGTCATTGCATAGTAGGATGCATAGATCATTTAGTATTAAAATTTAATGTAGGATGCATTCAACATTTTGTGGAGTACTAATATAAAAAGCCTTATCAATATATCCATGTTTTCTCTAAAAATAGCTCAAAACACCAACTAAGAAGTTTTTTTATTTTATTTTTTATTTTTTATTTTTTATTTATTTTTATATTTTTGTTTGGGAGACTTTGGATGCAGTCCCTATGTCACAACCTGTCCCGGAATTTTAATTCCGAGGACGTGAAGTTATGAAAATGCCCTTAAACGGGACTAAGGGGCGTAAAATATGTTAAAACTTGACGATTTGGGGATTGGGTAGGATCCCACATCCCTCAAATCCCTCCCCCATTTCTGCATCTTGTCTCTCTCTCTCCTCCCTCACAAATCTCTCATTCTCTCAGAGTTCTCTCTCTCTCCTTCGAACTCACACAGACCACCCACAAAACCACCCTAAAACTATACCAACGAAGGATCTAAGACCACCATCGTGCTCCTGAGGACCACACGAACATGATGGTACCAATTTCAGGTGAGTTTCACTTCGGAAAACATGGATTTCAATTTCACTGTGCGTGTGCACTGTTCATGCACACATAAAGCTTGATGTTTTTGGGATTTTGAAGCTTGTAGGAAGCTTGGTGAGGTCCTAAGGAAGCTCGGAGTGCTTCGTTTGAAGGATTTGGACGTCGGGATAGCTTGGTTCAAAGTTGGCCGGAGCTTTCGAGGCTTTTTCGGGCGAATCCACGCCGAGTTAGGGGTCAAGGCAGGTATGGATGTGTTCGTCTCGTCAATACCTTCATTTTGATATAAAGAACGTCGAAAATGGTTAAGAAACGAAGAAGTTATGACACTTTGAAATTTACCCAGAAATTCCGGCAAAACACCCACCTCCGGCGAAACCAGTCCGGCGACGCGAGGAAGAAGACGCGCGCGTGGGCAGCGCGTGTACAGGGCGCGTGGGGGTGCGTGAGAGCTCCAAATTGAGTTCTGAAAATTGTCACGCGTTCGTGACGTCGTGTAGATCACCGTGGTATATTCACAAACCCAAATCAAGCAACGTATGAGAAAGTTATGGACGAATGTTTGGTGTATGTGCATTAAATAACGTCAATTTGGTTACTGTTTGTATAGGTGAAAATTATACAGAAGAAGAATGTAACCAATCTAGGGGAGGCTCAGGGACCTACGAGACGTCGATGTAATCTGTGAGTGGGCAGTTTTGTTTTTCGTATATATACGTATGCTTGACGTATTTCCCAGAAAACGTATTTTAAAAGAAATAAGAATTAAATATCCTGTCATATATGCATCGTATTTTAATATGTGCATTACCATAGTTATGCATACTGTTGCATGGTGCTGAGGAGGCCCAGGTAAGCTACATTTGATATACATTTGATATACATATGATATACGATTGAAATACTATGGAAGTACAAATGAAATATAAGTTTGATATGATTGAGATATAATTGAGATACGATTGAGATATTATGCTGATAACGATCATGAGATATGATTGAGATATGAAGAATGATATGATAGAGATGCTTAGAGAGCTCATAACCTGATCCCCGGTGTTAGTGCTCGCCCTGAGCAGGGCCAGCCTTCACGTGATGTTCACCTCCCCGCACCTTATGCTCAGCTTGGATCCAAGCTAGGTGCATAGCCTGTCGTACAGACCACATTAGGTGGTTCCGACTCATGGGCAGGTTCAGTTGTTTAGTTATTATGAATGAGATTTGAGCTCTATATGCAGCCGTACAGGTCACGTTAGGTGACTCCGGCTGCCAGATTATATGTTATTGATATGAGTTATGCCTGAGTACTTACATTTTATTATGAGATTCCGATGTGGCATATCTTGAGCATAGTTGGCATACCTTTGAGCTTGATTGACATATTTATACATACGTATATATGTTTATTTTCTGGGAAAGTATATAAGTTTTACGGAGAGGGGTTACAAAGTTTTTGAGAAGTGTTTGGATTTGGAAAAGATTTGTTTTACTGACCCACTCAATTTTGGTTTTACGCCCCTCTAGGTTCAAGAATTGCAAAGGTGTGGTGACTACGAGGAATTTCAACGGTGTTCTGACATAATGGATCAAATGAGGACTCACCTTCGGGTGCTTCATCTTAGAAGTTGTATATTTTTAAAGCTTCCGAACTGTGTAAATGGTTACGTCACTCTCACGTGACGGCCAGCATGCCCTCCTTCGGGACGGGGTGTGTCACCCTAGCTATGAGTATTATTTGACTGAAACCTTGTTGGTTTTCGATTTTTAATCGAAGTCCCTGAAATTAATGTGATAAATTTATTTCTATGTATGTTACTATATCTTTTAAATTAAAAATTGAAATTTATAGTTGTTTATATTAATAAGATTTTAAATAAAAACCCATAAGTTGTGGGATTATTAGAATATAAATTATACTATTGTGTGTGTGTGTGTGTATATTATATATATATATATATGTATTATTGAAATTATAATATTATATAAACATATAATTTCCAACAAATAGTTGGAATTCATGTAAAGTGACGCAAATATTGAGCTTCAAGGTGTAGAGTGACAATATTTTTGTTCCAAGAAGACAAGTAAGATTAAGTTTGAGTTTCAATGGGCATGGTAAAAAATAAGCCTTAGTGATGTAGTACATTTTTTATACTTCATGTATAGTATTGCACACTGTTGGAATATGATTATGATAACATGGTTTTCACAATATGCATAATCATATGTGAAGGTACACCATAACATTGGTGTACTAATATACATATGATTATAGTGAAATAAGTTAATTAATTAATAAAGAAATAATATAATTAATTAATTCTAAAAGGATATGATCAACGTGAAAAGTTATAACTTCTCCTGGAAAATACAACTCCTCTAGAAAGGTTATTTCCATCTCTATATATTTGTCAAAGCCTTTTCTATTTGCTTCATTCAATTCCATTCTTACTCTCTGTTTATATCCTTCACACCATATTGTGATCGATAGTCTAAACGACATCTGTTTCCGATCCAGTGAACTACTCAGTTTCCATCATTGGCCTCAGAGCTAGGTTTTCATGACTCAAAACAATTTGCCCAGTTTTTATCTGAGGACTGTCTCAAACTACATTGGAGATTTCCTCTTCATCAAGTAACGAATCCAACAACGTTCTTACTAAGTTTCAACTTGAGAAGATATTAGGAAGAGGATGTTGGTGGATAAGGAAAATATTCAATTGGTTTTGATAGAAAGTTTAAAATCGGCATCTGAGAATTTTCTTGCAGAACCTAAAACTCACAAAAATTCCCAAACGTTCAAACACTATAGCCTGTCTGAAATCCCATCCTACAACCCGTTTGAACCTAAGCCTGAATTAACCCAACAATTCGAACTATATTCCTCCATACCATTTCATTCAGTAGAGAAAATAACTTAATCTGCCATTGAACCATTTCAGCGTTCAAATTCACTAAGCTCACTCCTCGACTATAATTACTAGTATTAGAATTTGAACGAATTACATCCACAAGGTTTATTCAGTCTTATGAGAACCTAAGAAAACCCATTGTAGTGGGCATCGTTGGTTGCAAAAACCAAACCTGCACAGAAACCCAAAGACCTGCAGCATCCCATTGAACCCATATTTTCTGAAGCTTTTTCTTAAATTTGGTCACAAAACCCAAGAGTCTTACCTGCACCATAGCGGTTGGTTCGTAGTCCTTCGTTGACTGCTACAAATTCGAGATTGAACCAGCGATTTTTGCTTCTTCCTCCACTGTGGTCTCGCCTTTTGCCGTGGATTCACCACAGCACTCCACTGACCCATAGCAGGCAGCATCATTTTCTTGTTCATCCAACTGTGATCTCATCCTCTCACGGTAATACACAACACTGACGGCACTGATTTCCTCCAAGACTAATTGTTTTCACAGTTTGTGATTACCCACCGGGCTGTGGGATGAATTTTCTTCAGAAGGGGGAACGATTGCATCTTTTTCAGAAGGAGAAGCGTGATTCACAAAGTCCAAATCAAGGAAGGAACTCCTCCATTATTTAAGATTCCTTGGTTCAAAGAAAAATGAGATTTTCTTTTAGTTCTAAGCACTGTGATAGTGCACGTGAAGGACCAGGAGACAATAATAAAGATTATTGTCCATCTGAAGGTCAAATTCACAGGTCCTTTAAGGTGGGCTCATCTTCAAATAGGCCCAATTCAAAGCCACCTGCAACCTTTTTCTACAACCTTGGCAGCTCCCTTCAATTCAAACTCAAGTGATATTAATTATGTTTACCCTAATAATTTCACTTATAAGGTTGATTTGTGGAATACTTTGAATAATAGTCACAAAGATCAAAAGTGGAAGCAATGGTTTAATCTTCGGAATTCTAGAGTCAAAATACTTAATTATTTGGATCAATGATTATTTGGATCAATGTAATACTCATTATGGTTTTATATATCCTGATTTGGTACAAAGAGAATTTTCAATTGCAAGAAATTTAAGAGGACTAAGACCATTGAGAATTGAAAGAGAATCCAGTAGAAGTGAAAAGTACTTTTGTGCACAAAAATAGAGGAAGAATTGATCATGTCTGGCCAAGTAGACAAGAAAGAAATCCCCCAGCCCTCTATCGATGTGATTGGCTGAACAAGTACTCGTTGTTCACTGATTAGACAAAACCTTTGTGAATGTGTGGGATATCTGCTACTAAAAAAAATAAGTGTCGGATAAATTATAAGCAAAGATGTTGGAATGTAAGTTCATATGATATCCTGATAATAGTGTTGGATATAGGTTTTATCATCTTAAGAAAGGATTAATCGAAAGTAGAGATGCTACTTTTATTGAAACTACTAATTTGGTTTATCCAATACAAGAATTGAAATCTTTGGAAGAAGAAGAAAATTCTCCTACGGAAGATCAATATTTCCATCTTGATTCAGACTTGTCTTATGATCATGACGTAGACAATGATCAAGTGGGAGACATAAACATGGGTGATCATAACAAAGTCGATCATGACATACACATGGATAATAATCATGATATTATCATGGAAGATATAGTGGGAGAAATGATCAAATCAGTGGGAGTAAAAGAAAAGGGGAACCATCTAGAAGATTGAAAGATTACATTGTTTTCAATCTTGAGGAGGTAGATCATTTAGTGGGAGATCCAGATCCAAGGAATTATAAAGAAGCAACTGATAGTTTTTGAGTCTGAAAAATGGCAACAAGCCATGAATGAAGCACTAGATTCCATAAAGAAAAATGAAGTTTGAGAATTCGTTGATCTACTTGATGGAAGGAAGCCTATCGGTTGTAAGTGGGTACTTTGTAAGAAGTACAAATCAGATGGTACCTTGGATAAGTTAAAGACTTGACTAGTAGCTAAGGGTTATTCTTAGAAACTTGGTATAGATTTTGTGGACACTTACTCTCCAGTTGCGAAATTTACATCCATTCAGATTCTTATGGCAATTGTTGCTAGAATGGATTTAGAACTTCATCAATTAGATGTCAAACAACATTCTTAAATAGAGATTTGAAGGAAGACATCTATATGATTCAACCCGAAGGATATCATGTCAAAGGACATGAAAATAATGTCTACAAATTAAGAAAGTTGTTGTATGGCCTTAACTAACCATCAAGACAATGGTATTTAAAATTCCACCAAGCCATTATGGAAATGGGCTATAAATAAAGCCATTAGATCATTGTGTTTACTCTTGGGAGTGCCAAGTTAATTTCTGTATGTTGTCACTATATGAAGATGATATCTTACTTGTAGGTAACTCCATAGATATGATTAAAAAGACTAAGTCATATCTGGGATCCAAAACGCTCTATTTGGATCAACAAAATTATCTAGGATAAAATATTTAAATGATTTAATATGCAAGATTGCAAGTCAGTTAGTGTTTGTAAAGGAATGATGCTTTCCAAAAATATGTGTCTGGTACAGAAGCAAGACATCATTGATGTGCAAAATGCTCCTTATGCCCAAGCAGTTTGAAGTTTGATATATGTTATGACCAGCACAAGACCTGGCATATGTCATGCAGTTGGATTGGTAAGTAGATATCAATCTAACCCCGGAAAGCAACATTGGATGACAGTAAAGAGAATTATTAGATATCTAAAAGGCACTCAAGGTATGGAACTTTGTTTCAGAGTAAATGATTTGGATTTAGTTTGTTATTGTGATGTAGATTTCGTAGGCGACTTGGATAACATAAAGTCAACAAGTGGTAACATTGTATTGTTTGGTGGAATGACTGTTTCTTGGTTAAGTAAGAAATAGAGGTTGTGTTGCAAAGTCTACAATGGAAGCAAAATATATATCTTGTAGCATAGCAGTAAGCACTTCAGTATGGGCTAAACACTTTATTGATAATTTAAATATGAGTATACCTAAGGAGACCGTCAATGTGTTTTGTGATAATAAGTTCGTCATCTTTCTAATAAAAAGTGGAGCAAATAGTTCTAAAAGAAAACACATTGATATTAAATATCACTATATAAGAGGAAAGGTAAAGGTCGACTACAGACCCTCGAAGAGATGGTGGCCAATCCAATGACCAAGAGATTGTCTCTAGAAAATTTTCGAAAGCATGTGACTACAATGGGTTTGCAAAACATCTAGATGTGTTGTAGTGTGAGACATGCTGCGGGCATCGTTGTATGGTTTTAGGGACGCCTGAAACATGGACAAGTAGATGCGACTCTATCTAGTTCTTTAGTACTTGGTTGGTTAAAGATAGATGGCACTAGCAAGGTAACCAGGTTATAATAAATCGTCTTGAAAGTAAAATTCGTTATAAGGTTGAAGAAATAATTTATATAACAGTATGGCGTATCGTGCGGGACCAAATCGTCATTTGTAATCTGGTACATATTGTTTTTCCTAGTTACTTGGGTATGATGTCATTTTACTAAAGAGTAAAATGTTATTAGATAAAGTGGAATGGTGCGCACCAGGTAAAGAAGCCACATATCTGATGTTACATTCAATTTGTTTATGAATAATACTCTTATGAAACAAATCAGAATAGGAAACCATTTATGTCATCATAATCAAGTGGGAGATGTTGGAATATGATTATGATAACATGGTTTTCACAATATGTGTAATCATATGTGAAGGTACACCATAACATTGGTGTACTAATGTACATATGATTGTA